AAAATGAAAAAAAAAAATTTGTCCCGACGATCTATCTTCTATACGCAAATGGCTACCATATTGAAAAATATACTATTTTTGTATGATAATTATGGGTTTTGTATTTTATTTTAATAGAAGTTGATGTTGCTTTTGCAATTATCCATCAATTTTTTAAAATTAAACACTATCTACAGATTTGCATCGAAGCGTAACGGTAAGTTCAATATATTTGATGTTTTGTAAGTGAAAACACGGTAAATCCAAATACTAAGCAAAAACTTGGTATACCACATAAAAAATAATGGAGTTACCATATTTGACTTATGTTCATACATTGGGAAAAAAGGGTATCTTGATTTACTGTTAAAAATATTTTTTTGTGTTCCTGAAAAATCATGTTGAATGGAGTTATCCTGTTTTCGTTTAGCACGGCAGTGTTAGTGATGAGTAAATTTTTTTTAATGATTGTATAATAGTTCCAAAAGCACTTAGAAAAGATGTAATGATTAAGTTACATTCAGATCACATGGGTTTAACTAAAACAATTGCTAAAGCAAAAGAAGTAGTTTATTGGCCTTATATGGTAAATGATTTAAAAAAANTTGCTAAAGCAAAAGAAGTAGTTTATTGGCCTTATATGGTAAATGATTTTAAAAATTTTCTGTCTAACTGTATACCTTGTAACAAGTATAAGAGAGCTAATATAAAGGAACCTCTAATGTCTCATGAACTAGCATTACATCCATATTTTAAAGTAGGTGTAGATCATGCTGAAATAGCTGGAAAAGTTTATTTATTGGTAATTGATTATTATTCAAAATGGTTTGAAGCAATTAAAGTTCCATCAAAGAGTATCAATGTAGTAATAAGGGAATTAGAAAAACTACTCTCTCAATTTGGTATACCCAATGAAATAATCTCAGACAATGTGCCTTTCAATGCACATGAATTTAAATTTTTTTGTACAAGTAATGATATTAAACATATACGTATAAGTCCCAAAAATAGCCAAAGCAATGGCTTAGTAGAAAAAAGTGTAGGAATTTTTAAAAAGATGTTTAAAAAAATTGAATATCATGAGAAAAAATTATGGTATAGTATATTGGAATATAGAAATAGTCCATTAGAAGGTCTTAACTTATCACCAGCTCAACTTATGTTTAATAGGAGATTAAAGACTAGAGTACCAATTTGTATAGAATTGTTGAAACCTGAAATATATGATTCAGAGTCGATATACAAATTATTAATAAAAAAGCAAGAAAAACAAATGTATTATTATGATAAAACAGCTAAAGAAAGGGATNGATTCAGAGTCGATATACAAATTATTAATAAAAAAGCAAGAAAAACAAAAGTATTATTATGATAAAACAGCTAAAGAAAGGGATTATAATTCAATAAAAAATTCTAAGGAATTATTTGTTTTATATAATGGTAGTTGGAATAAAGCATTAAATATGGGGGAAGCTGATACACCTAGGAGTTTAAAAGTAAAACTACCAAATGGTACAATACTTAAAAGAAATATGAAATGGTTGAGATTAGTTCAAGGTAAGAGTGAGTGTGGAGAGACAGAAGAAAGCGAGAGGAATGATAGGACTAGTATTGGTGTTAATTTAGAAAAAGGAAAAAGGGGTGAAAAGAATGATATAACTAAAAAAATAAAACCTACAAGAGTAAGTAAAAAACCTGCATATTTAAGAGACTATAGACTTACGTAAATGTTGTTAAATAAAATTAAGTAAATATTGTTTAATAAACTTAAGTAAATGTTGTACAGTAGAATTAAGTAATAATATTTAAAAAAAAAAAAAAAAGAACATGTTTGATAAGGTTATCACATATATACATATACACAGCAAGTAGCATACCTTACATATTATTATTAATATATAGTTGTGGAAATACATATAATAAATATTGTTTCTGTTTTTAATAAATGTTGTATTTATTTTATTAAATAAAATATCATCAACGAAACAGCATCAATGAAAAAGAATAAAGCAGTAAGACCAAATGAAGTGCCAGCAGAAGTATAGAAAATATTAGGCAGCGTTGGCATAAGGTATTCGAAGGAAATTTTAAATAAAATCTTATTAGAAGCGAAAATTCCAAATGAATAGTATTGTAGTGCCAATATTTAAAGGTAAAGGTGACATACAGGAGTGTGGAAATTATAGAGGCATAAAGCTTATCAGTCATAGTATGAAAATTTGAAAAATGTAATAGATAAGAGAATAAGAAATGAGACATCGATATCTAAAAATAGTTTGGATTTATAACTGCTAAATCAACAATGGAGTCAGTATTTTGTGTGAGGCAACTAAAAGAAAAGTTTAGGGAAAAGTAGAAAAAGATATGTATAGTATTTATAGATTTGGAGAAAGCGTATGACAGAGTACCGAGAGTGGTCAATAATGAGAAAAGGAGTTCCGAAATATACTTGGTGGATAGTTGAGTGATTAGTACGAAATCCAAATTGGTAGTCAGGTAAAATTTTATTTTCATTAATAAAAGGAAGTATGCGTTTAAAGGATAAACTTTTCTAGAATTTTGTCAAAAAATGATAATAAACTAATTGGCATGATGTAAGATGTTAACGAGTCAAGTGGCTTATTTAGTTTTGTAATTAAGATGATTTTGGAGAACTTCCAGAGGAGCGGAAAGTAGGAAAGTCTCTATATGTCATTAAATATATGGGTGAGTAGGATGAATGATCGTTTAGGTAGACATCGAACTACTTCTGCTGAAATTAAATCGAAACCTGGTGACTATTTTTGAATGGTAAATTTAATATAATTTGGCGTAAAATGTTTAACTGGAAGAGTAAATGGTGATAGCGAGTCAAGATAACCAAGTATCATATTTATGTTGTCTGGAGTAATATCTAGGCGGGGTTGAAAAACATTGGAAAGATATTCTTTAAATAAATAAACTTTCTCAGAGTCTGACGTGGCTAAACTTCCATCAGGTTTTGTAATAGGTGCGTTAATTACTTTATATTGGAATGCTTGCTTGGTTGCTTTCCAAAGGATACCATTTTTTGTTGATAGATTAGCTAGGTACTTTTTAAAAGAGATATTTTTATTTTCGATAAAATTTTTTTAAGAGAGTTAACAAAGGAAAACACGAGGTAGGTGAAACAAGGAGATCAGTGACAATAGACGAGGACGTGATTGGAGAGGTGAAAAAATTTATGTATTTAGAGTCAGTTGTTCAAAAGAGCGGTGGTATTGACGATGATGTAAGACACAGGATTAAGTGCGGGTGGTTGAAGTGGAGAAAAGCGTCTGGCGTCTTATGCGATAAAAGAATTCCAATAAGGCTGAAAGGTAAATTTTACAAGACTATAGTGAGGCCAGCTATGATGTATGGTTCAATTTGTTGGGCGATTGACAAGAAAATAGTGTAGAGAATGTGTGTAACAGAGATGAAAATACTTAGATGGATGAGTGAATTGACTAGAGAAGATAGGATAAGGAACGAGTATATAAGAGGTAATATAGGTGTAGCGCAATCGTGGATAAGATGAGAGAAAATAGACTTAGCTAAACCATATAAATATGACCAAACCGGGCATGTTATGAGGAGAGAAGAATTAGCAATTATCTTAACACGTTCTCTGCGGATGACATTAATCATTTGGTGAAGGACATGCGGTAATTGGTTTGTTCATTATATGCGAAAGACGCCAATTGGCGTCATTTCTACATTATTTTTCAATCTATTATATTTTAAGCTGCGTGAGACTCTTATCTTTTAGCGTCGAGGCAGAGCTGAGAAGGTATAAGTTATTATGATTAGTAACTCAGTTACTTAGTAGTTTAAAACATAACAATGCATATAGAAAGTAGAACTTTTTCAACTTAATTTTTGAAAGTGTTCCGGAAATACTGACACTTTTACATATATCTTAAATTAAAGCTTATGTAATATACTTTAATATTAAAAAAAAAAATTTCGGACTTTATTTTGTCTTCACGGTGAAAATGCTGTCGAATGCTATTTTTGTGTGAAAATTCTCGATTTTATTTTTTACATTTTTAACTTTATAATGCTATAACTTTTTGAAAAGTGTATGGATCAACAAAATTTTTTATGAGAAATAATATTTTTTAATAATCCCTTTTTCATTCGACATAAAAATGTAACATTTTGAAATCTGTTTTACAATATTAGAAACTAATCAGTAATATAAGTATGTATATGATAAGCTCTTTCGATCCTAAAAAATACGAATATAGTTCATAAATTGACAAATAAGAAAATCTCACCTCAAGATCTATTCCCTAACACTCGGAAAGAAGCTATAATAATTTCAATTCATTAACCTAAAAAACCTAATAGTTTACCACAGAATTTATAGTTCAATAGGCCTCTTAACAACTATGTCAAAAGTTCTGTAATAAAAACTCACTTTTAATTCACAAAAATGAAAATCTTATATATTCAGTTAACTATAACTCAACACTGCATATCTAAAAGTTTTATGTTATCTATACAACAATAATAATACATTTTGAATATATGCATATATAGTATAAGTTATGTTACAGATAAACATAGCGAGACAACAAATTATACAAAATAAATTTTTAAGAGTAATGCTAAAATCTTCTTGATTTATGCGCAATGAGCAAATCCATGTCAGCACCGGTATGGTTGAGTTTTTGAAATATGAGCCATACATTTCAAAATTGGCGAAAAAAAAAAAAAAAATAAGAGATTAAAGCCATGACTATCACAAGACATATTACTTTTACTACTATACCATTATCATCATAATCCTATTGTACTCATAATTAAATTTACACATATGCTAACCTAAAATAATTATTTATTTTTATTGTAAAACCTTTATATAACATGTTGAAACAATTCTAATAAATAAAAATAAATCTATGTGTCATTTTTACCTCTGTCCATTTAATATGAAAATCCATTGAATCGCAAGACATAGCCATAGTTTTTACTCCTCGTTTTTCTAATTTATTATGTATCATTGCTAGTCTACTAAGTTCATTTGTACACACTGCCGAAAAATCTGATACGTAACATACCATTAAGCCCCAACTAAAAAAATATTTGTGTCAAAAAATTATGTTAAAGTGTTTATTTTATAAAATGATTTCGTAATGCTAAAATGAATAAATGGTATTTCTGCAAATACAAATGACAAGTATTACTCGATATTAAAAAAAAAACAGAATGTGCACGCTTAACAGGGTTAGTTATCACTAAATACTAATGTGATTACGCAAAACAAAATTCTAGTGGAAAGCGTGTAGAGTAGTGTGGTGTATACGAAGATGATGTTGAGTATGCTGCCTGAATATTCACGTACATCTGATCATACAGCAGTTACCGTACTCGGCTGACACTCCGGATTACCTGTATCACTCTCCAAAATTCAAGTATCTAAAATGTGGAAACTTAGTGCTGTGTCTTTGGCGTGAGCTTTAACCTCTAGATGCAGAGGAGGCAATTAGTGCCTCTAATGCGCCCGTTGGTGTAGTTCTTAATGTTCTAGTGATAGTCATGGCAGCCATTCTTTATATACGACTAAGTTCTTTTCTAGCTGAAACGAGTGCTACTCTGGTCCACCAGACTAGGGCACCTACAATATCATAGGTTTAATCACTAAAGTGTATAACCAATACATAACTCTTAGTTTAAGACCCTAAGTCTTTCCCAAGGCTCTATTGCAGGTCCACAGTATGGATTTTTGATTCTTGACTCAACATGTGATTTCTATTTTTGTTTACTATCTAAGATAGTACCTAAGTATTTTACTTCCGATTTTTCGCTAATTTCTTATTTGTTTAGAGTAATTAAGTTACTCACGCAATAAAATAAATATTACAGTTAAAATTAATTATGAAATTTAATTTTAATTGTTAAAAAAGAAAATTAACTTAAACATGAACAAATACATCAAAAATCATGTCTACGGATAAAGGCAACAAAAATAAAATAAAATATTTAAACAAATAATATTATAAACATCACGGACGGTATTGGAACACATCCGTTAATTTTAATTGGAAATTAATAAAAGCACCAGGAGCGGTCTGGACACTCGCTCCTTAGCGTTGGCTAGAAGAAAAGGGAAACACGTGCTCTCCACACATAAACAAATTTAAGTTAATTTATGATAAAATAAAATAATTAATAAAATATAGCTCATTACATTAATATAATATATAAATAGCTATATACTCTGATTAGCGTGTCTTTTTAAATGTTAGCATCAGTTTTTCTGAATGTGTGACAACATAATACAATTATAAAACAAAATATAGGTAACGAGCCTCCTTTACAATCAGGAACAGGCAAAGATTCATAAGTTTTGAAGTTTGCTCAAAAGGGTTGGTTCAGAAGATAGAAGGATGGAAAGTGTCATTTGATCCTTCTCTTTCTGATCATAGACACCTACGCTTCACATTGAAAAAAACAGAGTTGGAACGTAGTACTATAGGAATTCTAAAAGGACTAATTGGAATAATTACAAGACAGACATTTCTCGTGACCTGAAAAAACTACAGTTTAGATTAAGGTTGTAACAAAGCATTGACACACAAAATTGTATTGTTTAAGTATATAATAAAAACTGTCCTTTATTAGAAAAGAAATATATAGGACAGGATGTAACTTGGTGGAATACTAACCTGTCAAAATTAAGAAAGAAGCAATTTTTAAAATTTTTGTTCTGTTGGTTCTATTCAATTATTTTTTGTGTTAGTTTATAATCTTTTTATAAGCCGTCCAGGCAAACAATTGTGTTGTTGTACAATCAAATAATTAAGTACTGAATAAGTCAATACAATTAGGTAAGACATTGCATTATAAGTTTATTTGTTCCTATTATTATTATTATTTATTTAAACATTTATAAATTATACTGTTCAATAATTGAATCAGACTCATTATTAATATTAATTTTCTTCCCTCTATATTCATAAAAAATACAGTCCACTATAAAAAAAAGGGGGGAGGAAAAGGTGTCGCGTAAGCGCATTATTATTATCTGCCCGCGCCCTAACAAGGTAAATGTAACATAATATAGTAAGTAATATAATATTTTAGATGATTTTTGTACAACATTTAATAAAAATGTGCACAATAGTAATTTTTAAGAAATTCCATTAAAATTTAAAGATGAAACAAGTTTTTGGACATTATAATATGAAATAAAACAGATTATTAGATGCTTTACTTAAAATTTTGAAAAACTTTTTTGATGAGTAGACTCTTCTAAAATGTGCCAGGACTTCACTAAAAACTCTTAGAAATACTAAAATAAAAGATGTCAATCCTGGAAGTTTGGAAGCAATACCAAAATGGTATTGCTTCTTGACTACAAGAAATATTACCATTAGAAATGAATAAACTTTAAATAAAAAAAATTTGGTGCTAAGTTTTAATAGATTGGTTTCCTTTTCCTAAAAGTAGCAAGAGTCAGTTATAGCCTATAATGTAGTGCCTTATTGGAAGTTTAAGATGTTTTATTATTGAAGTTTATATTGGTAATTCAAAACCTGATGATACTAATGATTTCTTACATGATATTGTTGATGAAATGACTGAATTAATTAATGTAGATTTTATATTCAATAATATTTTTTTCTCTGTTTTTTACACTGTATTATTTGTGATCCTTCTACAAAAGTGACCAGCATTATCATGGCAGATTTTAAGTACTATATTACGATACAAAATGGTATTAAAATTTTACATACTTAACGACCATTTTCAATATTGATATGAACTAAAATACCGTTATCATATTTATATGAACGCTTTATTTGTTGTATATGTAAGTTATATATGGTACTTTTCAATTTGTTTATGATTTGCTCACAATAAGCATGAGACATCTACACTAATTCAAATTTTTGATCATATGTTGGGATTATAGCTATACATAATTTATTTTCATTTACCTCTAGACAAATGATCTGTAGATGGGTTCAAAATCAAAAGATGATAAATCAACCACATACTTGACAAATTTACGATTTAATTCGTCTTTACTTACAATTTATGCTGTAGAGTAGCTATCAGTTAAAAATTTAAATGTTTTTCCGGTCAGATAAAGTCGAAATTTATACGTTATAGCTCAATGAACCGCAGATTAATGATTACTTCTAATTTTAAAAAATGGTATTTTTTTCTGCATCCTTAAGTGTTCAACTAGCATATTCTATTATATGCTTATCTTCTTTTATTTTATGTGGTTAAACGCTTGTTTAATATCAACAACGTTTTTATATTTTTTACCAACTAATTTATTTTCCATTTAACTATTCGTCCATTTAATCTATAGGTAATCGATCTTTTATAGTTACTCGTTTGATAGTACGAGAATAATCAATAACTACACGTTTAAGTGTTGATACATGAAATGGTTGTTCTATAACAAATGCAGTTGCTCCATAAGAATTTATAAATTAGCGACAAACTTGATTTTCAATCATGTTGATTGAAAATAATGTTGCACAAAATAAATCAACATTTTAATAAAATGATATTGCGTTTGTTTTATCATTGGTAGACACTATCTGTATTTGATTGCTATTACTGACATTCATATTCTCTGAAATAAGTTTTTGCGTAGCTAAAAAATAAATTAATAAATCCATAGGAATTTTATCTTTATCAGCAGTTCCAATTTTGGCATTCTTTAATGTTTCATTTTCTTGTAGTAATTCTGTCATTCTTTTCAAGTCTTCATTTTGTTTTATGCGAGTAGCAATTAAGGCTTCTTGTAAGTTATCACCGATAACTCACTCATTGTCAGCCAACAGAATATCAATTAATTCATCTTTATTACCTTTTTTAGGGAGGTGTCGAAATTTTTTTTCTTTTTTTAATTCCTCAACTTTTCAACACGTTACTATCTACTAGCTGTAATACACTATTAAGCATAACATAAATCTGCGATTCTAACATCTCGATTAGTTTTAGTTATAATCAAGCGATATTCAAGTTATGGTTTTATTGTGTTGTTATTTCGTTAAATCAATAGGTCTCGGTTGCATTTACGTTTAAATCTACGTGATGGGTTGTCAGATATTAAAGTTTTTTACAATAAAATAAGAATTTAGTACATTTTTTTAATTAAAGGCTTTGTGTTTGTATTGAGTTTTGAGTGACATCTAGTATAGTGTAAAATAGCAAGTTCTTTGTCAGTTTTAATGTTTAAATCTATGTGTTGGTTATTATTTATTATATACCAAGGTGCAACAGTTAACACTCGTAATGTTATATTTCGAAAGGCTTGTATTGGATATTCGATGGTTTATCTAGTCTCCATATATAGTTCCCAAAGTACGGTTAGGTCTAATTATTGATTGATAAATAAGTAATTTTATTTCGAGAGGTAATTTAGATTTTAGTAATGGACGAAAGAGATGAAGTCTGCTGTTGGTTTTTTTCTTTTGTTTTTCGAGTGAGGTCCTGAAGTCAATCGTTTGTCCAAAATTATGCCTAGGTTCTTAGTTTCATTGTGAGTATAAATTACTGTATTGTTTAATTCTTGGCAATTTTTGGATCTAAGGGCGAATGAGTAGAGAGTATAGCTGCATCGTCAGCAAATTTAGCAAGGTGAGTATTCGTAGATTTGGGTATGTCTGCGGTAAAAATATTGTAGTAGTTGGGAGACAGGTCATTTCCTTGAGGAACGCCTGCTTGCATTCTATAGTAAGGAAAATTTGCACTGCGTTGTCTTACCGTAAACTATTTTTCATAAAAGACTTTATTTATTATTAAATATAGAGGCGCTGGGTATATACTATATAAAAATATTATTTTTTTTAATTACAAAGCTGCCCGTCATACCACACCCTATCAAAGGCTTGGGCTACATTGAGGTTTAGACGTGTCGGGAAACCTATGAACTTGGTGTATAGTAGAGTGTCTCACACGAAATTAAAACTGGATGTTGAGTTAGATGTGGTCCTCTTGTAATATTGGTAATAACCCTTTTGAGTAAAAGTTTTCCAAATAATTTGCTTAACTTGAGTAATAGACTGATCGGTCTATATGGGTCAATCTTTTTGTGGTTCTCCATA